ACTAGAAACACCAATCAGAAAGGATATATGCACCCCTATGTTCATAGCAGCACAATTCACCATAGCTAAGATTTAGAAACAGCCTAAGTCCCCATCATCAGATGAGTGGATTTAAAAACCTGTGGTACATCTACACAATGGAATACTATGCTGCGATAAAAAAGAAGAAACTATTGCCATTTGCAACCATGGGGATGAAACTGGAGAGCATTACTCTAAGTGAAATAAGCCAGTCAATGAAAGAAAAATATCACATGATCTCACTCATTTATGTATAATAAAGAACATTATAACCCGATCAACAAAAAGATGGATACAGAGGCAGAGAAGCATCCAACAGACTGTCAAACTAGAGTGTTGTGGAATATAGAGAACAACATAGACTGATGAACAGGGACAGATCCAGAGACAGAGAAACAGCAATCAGACTATCAATCCCCAGAGGGAAAGTAGGGGAGGGAAGGGGTTAGGGGGACAGATCAACCAAAGGACTTGTACACATGCATATAAGCCAAACCAATGGACACGGATAACAGGGGGTTGAGAGCATGAGCAGGGAGGTTGTGGGTTAATGGGAAATGAGGATGCATTTGTAATACCTTAACCAATAAAGAAATTAAAAAGATAAAAATAAAAAATATAGGAATTAAAAAAAGAGCTAATCAGTATTTTTTCAATACTAAAATAGAGCCTGTTTTATTTACTCAGAGAACTGTGAACAATAATTACTAAGATGAACCTATAGCAAAGTAAAATTTGTACATACATTTAGCACATATTTCTTGACAGAGCTTAGAAAAATAGTGGAGAATAAACTAAAGGAGTGTACAGATACCAAGCACACCAGTGAAGAGAAAGAATGATGAGCAGATTAGCAAGAGGAACAGTTTGGAACTAGTAGTTTAAAGAACTCCACTTTATAGTAATAAAATTCTTCCAGAAATAGAAAGTTGAATCTATATGATGGAATATTACAAAGCTTACATAACCATTTAAGGTTTCATTTATGAAAGTATCTTATAAAAAGGGGAAAGGCTTTGATGATGTGGTATGAGCTACGTGAGAAGAACAATTATGTGTATTTTATTTCATATTTCAGCCACATAAGAGGTATATTTGTCTATATACACAAAAAGCTGGAAATGGGACAAGATGTTAATAATAGTGATCACACAGAGGTAACATTTCATGGTGGTTATTTTCTTATTTGGTTTTCTTACTTTTCAAAATTTCCCTAATTGATAAGAAATACCTTTTAAATAAGGATAAATACCATACACATACACAATTTTTTTAAAAGTATGTTTCACTATAACAATTGCAAAATAGACTCTAAGAAAATGAAATAGAATGTCTTCAGGGAGTGGAATTGCTCAATGTAAAAATGGATCCAGATATCATCAGGGTCCATAGTGTAGCATCTTGTTTAAATATTGTTAGGACTAACTTTTACTAGAGCAGCAGATTATAAAATGCTTGCAAGGATGATATATTCAGCATGCTATCGATGGAAACATTTAACCAATATAGTATAAGACATGATATCCAGGAAGACATTTATCTGTGTAACAAAATGATGGTTGATGTTTAATATTTTGGGGAGTAGTTCTCACCTCAACCCATTACAAGTACTAATGCTGGCAACAGAATTCTTATCATTCAGGATGTGTCCTGTATAGTAGCAGTGTTCCTAAGGTTGGAAAAAAGAAAAAAGTTAACTACAAGAATAAATATATCACAATTGTGGGGGAAGCTGTTATCTTGAATATGTAGGAAAGGTCTTTGACTAGTGACTGTGGCCAGACCAATTCCAAGAAACAAACACAGTGGGAACTCAAGAGGTTTTATGAACTGCTCCACCACCGACCCTGGAAACTCTCTCTATTGAATGACTGAGGTGTTTTTCTGATGCTAATTGGCACCAAAGAAAAGTTCAGGGAGGTTGAGCCTGAGTGGGCTCCTGCTGCCTGGACACTGCACCTGAGAAGTAGCCAGCTGGCCTGGGGCCTACAGCACTCCCACAGAACGCTCAGAGTTGAGACACAACTTGTGAGAATTTGGCTCCCTTTGCTAAGTTGCTAAGACACTGTACATACCATATCAATAAAATGGGGTATACATTTTTCTGGATTCTAGAGTCCTTAAAACACCACACTACCTGTCCTGAGCCCTCATAATAATTGGTCTCATTTACTGTATTAATTGGTGTATTAATGGAATTTCTTTGCTATCATCAAAATCCCTGAGAATTTCTCTAAAACTAGAGATTTAGATATGGTTGATGATCCATATAAGCAAAATAGGGGTCACTTGTGTAGAGTAAGCGAAGAAAGCCAATGAATAGCCTGCTGTGAAAAATTGCCCTAACCGGTTTGGCTCAGTGGATAGAGCGTCGGCCTGTGAACAGAAGGGTTCCGGTTTCGATTCTGGTCAAGGGCCTGTACCTTGGCAGCTGATCAATGTTTCTCTCTCATCAATGTTTCTAACTCTCTATCCTTCTCCCTTCCTCTCTGTAAAAAAATCAATAAAATATATTTTAAAAATATATAAAAAAAATAAACTGACTTTTCTCAGGGGTTGACATTCCATCTGTGTTTTCCTCTCCTTTGGAAGAAACCTTGTTATCATAAACGCTTTCTCACAGAAGACTTGTACCACATGAAAGAATCAGCCACAGCACTTGAATATGAATTAATTTATCATCAGATACTTTCCTTGGAGGTCAGTGTTAGCAACAATCCAGACAGATATTCACAAGATGAAAGTTTCCATGTGAGTAGGAAAGAAAGAGACATTTTGTGGCAGGAGTCTTACCTGTGTTATTTCTTAGAGATGCACAAGTTTGAGATGCTATGGGGGTGGCTCTGAGAAAGTCACTTAACCTAGGAATACTCCATGATTAACCTTTTTGTAATCTTTTTTGGTTCTCTCTTTGGCCTTGATTCTTTGTCTGACATCTCGGTCCTGGCATTATTTGTACGGTGGTGGTTTAACCAGATATACAGTATACTAATGAAATAATTTATATTCCATTGTTGACCTCAAGATAAATGCATGTATCATCAGAAAATAGTAAATAGTTTCAGGACATTTTAAAACCTATAGGGGAGACTATTTTTAAGCTACTGATAAGGCAGTTTAGGGAAAAAAGTAGACTTTTGATTGCTTCAAAAAATGCAGCACTTGGAAGTTGCCTAGTACTCCTACCTTTTAAAAATGCACACTATGCTTTTTAAATCTGTTAACTCCTTGGATAGATAAGCAACTTGCTTTTAAGTTCTTCAAGCATTTTTAAGTTGTTCTTGGACTTACGAATCTTACAGCATAAGTGGCAGACGCAGAAAGAGTCCCAGAAAGCATTCAAAACCCACCATGGTCTGAGGACTTGTGGTGATTTCCTCGCCTCTGGGTGAGTAGTAAGTTTCAGCGTAGTCTGGCCCCAGGAGATGCCTGTAGAGAGCAGAAAGTTGCATAGTTCGCTCACTGTGGTAACAAAGGCTAATGAATATCCCTGACATGATCTCTGGCACTAAAGCAATAATAATGTCCACAATGAGAAGGTGTTGACATTCTGACCCACTGATCTTTTTCCAACATTGGAGCTCTGCTGCTCATGCAAATCAGAAAATTAGCTCTACCTGTTAAATCTGAGGGAAGAAATGGCCTTGGCTGCCTTTTAACTACAGATTATTTATGCTCAAAATGAGTTATTTGGGGATTCTTTGCACAAAGAACAGATGTTGGATCGTAAGTATTGATAAAGGACCGTTGCATTCTGAGAGGATTTTGCTGACTGCTGGAGAACTCGGGGGAGACCCAGCCCTGAATGGACACGGGGCATACATTCTTATAAAAGCAATGGAAAGTCATATCAAAGGTGTAAGTTTACCTGGGTAGAAAAGAATTTCTGCAAATTCTAAGAAGAATCAGGGGACAAAGTCATTTATAAGAGCAGCTTTCTTTGTTTTACACTTTGCATGTAATTTCCTAGGAAAGCATCAACATTTCTGAGATAACATTAGTGCAAATGCATCTAAAACATCTAACACTCAATATACTGGATGTCCTTTACCTAAAATTTCACTAAATAAGGTCTCGAGATTTATTTTTCCACGTTCTCTTAATATAAATCACGAATTAAATTTTAGAAAATTAACTTACTTGGTTTTCTGTAGGTAGAGAATGACTTCTCCATTTAACATAATCTGATACTGAAGTTCAGGTTCATATTTTTCCTTAAAAATGTAATTATATAATATCAATTTATATTTATGAATCTAGCTAAAATAAACATAATACAATAATATATATAATATAGAAGGGTAATTGCAAGTGCATTTAAGACAAAAGCAGATCTCTTATGCCTTATAATATGTAAAAATAAATATAAATTGTGTATTTAGATGGATTTCAAAAAAGTACAATGACACAATAATAATACTTACAGATTAAACTAATCTGTAGTTTAAACTAATGTGAGATAGAGACTAATCATTTGCCCTGTGTACAGTAGACAGTCACTAATGGATTACTAATGGGTTAATAATAAGGCACATATTTTATTACGATAAAATAAAACCAAATACACTAAAGAAAATCAACTCCAAACCTACTAACGTGTATATATGTATAAAAGCCTAAGTGACTAGCTGACCATCCGGTAGCTATGACATGCACTGACCACCAGGGGGCAGACACTCAATGCAGGAGCAGAAACCACAGGCATGGAAACATGGAACAGACTAATGAATCTCAGAGGGAAGGAGGGAGGGGGGAGGGCAGGAAGAGATTAACCAAAGATCTTATATGCATACTAGAGGCCCATCTGTGCACTGGTGGGGTCCCTCGCCCTGGCCTGTGGGGATTGGGCCGAAACTGGCTCTACAACGTCCCCCAAGGTGTCCTGGATTGCAAGAGGGTGCAGGCCAGGCAGAGGGCCCCACCAGTGCACGAATCCATGCACCCAGCCTCTAGTAGTTATATAAAGTAAACACTAGAAACTGATAGAAATATTTACAATAATGTAATAGTCAATAAGTTAATATCCTTAATACATTTTAAAAAATCTTATTAATGAGATAACGTTCAATTCTCCATTATAGACAAAATAGCCAAGGAAAAGGCAATTCATTTAGAAAGAGGAGGAGGGTAGGAGAAAGGGCTTGAGGATCTTGGCAAGGAATATTGTCAAAAATGGCTGCCTTTCCTGGGCTCCTTCTTTTCTCCCCCTGCCCCCCATTCCAGAAACTTGAAGAAATGCCTAAGTAGCTTTATTCTTTCTGATCAAGTAAGGCAGTTAGCTCCCTTTCTGCTGCTTAATTGTAAAAACAATCTAAGAAATTCCATGTTCTCTCCTGAAGATTAAACCATGAGATGTTGACTATAACGTCACTTCTATTAGTTAAAATGCTCCTTATTGTCTCTTCAGATAATTGTAAAACCCACAGTCATTTACATTACTTACCTCTTTATCATGTGTCTCTGTTTGGTTGTTCTGTATCTCCCTTTTGTGTAAAATATGCAGTTTTTTCGGATGAACTACTTCATAGCCTTCAAATTCAGGTATTTGCCTTATGGCTATTGCTAGGAAAAGAGAGATAACAGTGATATAAAATATTGAAGGATTTTGTTTTGGTTTTGCTTGGTTGGTTTGTTAAAATGGCATGAGCGACTGTATTCTCATTGAGAAAATAAACATTAAAAACAAGTTCTTCTTTCTACTGGAACTTGGAAAACAAAACTTTTTCCTTTTGTTCTCCATTCCCCCGACCCTTGGTTCTGGAAAGACAGACTGATGATAGAACAATGCTTTGGATATCTCCCAATATGTGTAAACTCCGGGCCACCGTGCTCAGAAAGGGCAGGTTTTGGATTAGAACACAGTTTATAGGAGCCAGGAATTCTTCCTGTAGTAATCCAGTTTTTTCTTCCTCTTTTGTCCTCTACAAAATTGTGAATTTTTCTTTTAATGGTCTCAGTGGTCTCTGTATTCCTTTTTATGTATTTTGCTCTCTGTGGTGCAATCCCTGACTAACTCCCTACCCTGAAAAAAATTAAATATTTCATAGACAGATAATTCTTCATTCTACTAACAGTTATTTTATTTCTCAGTGCAACAATAAACCATTGTGGTCTTTCATTAGCACTCACTCTCAGACTTTAGACTTCACAGGAAATAATGTTTTTGTTATTCTCAGCTGGAACAATTAGAAAGCATAAGAGAGCCAGAAGAAAAATTTTATGTAACTACATGTTCTGGATTTACTTGGAATTACATTAGATAGAGAATTTTCTCTTTTACTTGCATATAGTAAGAAAATAACTGATATGGGAGCCAAAATTTGGTCTCAAATCCTAGCTAAATGACCTTGTAAGTAATCTTGTAAAAGTCACTTCAATTTCTATCAGTTTATTTTCTTAAAGTAGAGGTTGGTATAAAAATCACATAGCATAAACTTTATAAAATTAATTAATAACAGGTGGCAGGCACACCTTTATCCATTTTTTCTTTATTCATTCAATTATCCATATAAACTCAGTTTTGTTTTTAAATGTTTCTATTTTCACAGATAAGTGTCAATGCTTAGAGACAACTTCTCACTCAGCGTTGACAGTCAGTGTGACTTTAGGTAATTCTATACCTGGCCCATGTGGACAACCTGAAGGGAAGCAGTAAATCATAAAATCTCTTCTAATCAACCTTCAAAGTTCTGCTGTGATGGTATCCTAAGAACAATTCACCACACATGAAGAAAAGAGCATTTATAAATATATTACTAAAAGTCTTTATCAAAAGAGAATATGAACCCTATTATGGAAAGAGTTCTGAAATTAAAATTAGAGTGAATGTTAATTTAATAATATCTAGTCCCAACTCTAATACTAATTGGTCAGTTGGTCAATTAATTTTTAATTTTGCTTACTAATGTAATTATGTCTAACAACTCTAATTTTACTTAAGAGTCTTCCTTGTCATCTACCCTAGTGCAGCATTTGAATAAATTGTGTATTTAGATGAATGATTGTCTTTTAACAGGGTAGAAATATTAATGTTATTTAAGATAACATGGATGATGGTTAGAAAATTCTTGAATTCTGGTATGGAAGTTAATTATCTGCTCTTATTACAAAACAAAATATAGATCTTGTAGGATTATTGAATGAGATAAAATTTCAGAGACATTCTAATTAAATTATTATGCCAATCACAACACCTTGACAATGAGCACAATTTATGTAAACTGAGTAAATATACTAAAATACAAATGGTAATGATATTTGGGTCATATGAACATGCCACTTTCTTAAGGGTACTTTAAAAATGCATTAAATAATTTGAATTTTGTATAAAATGTCAACATATCAGCACTTACCTTTAGTTTGTACAATGAACCAGAGAACAGAGAGCAGGACCAAAGACATGTTGGCGACTGCAGCTAGCTGAGAAGTCCCACACAGCATGAAGATGTGGTCTCCCCAGATATTTATCTTCCCCTACTTGTTATTACAAATTGAAAAATAAATCTCAAACTTCACTCAGGA